GTGGCGGAGAGTTTATTGCCAGTTCTTCTCTTCCGTTCTACGCCCTTGATTTGAGAACTGGCACTAAATGTAAAATTAGAAGCATTAATATGTATCTCTTTACTGACAAGTCATAAGTGAACAATGTGTTACCCATATGATTAAATGATTTTTGAATTTTTTTTTGACAAACATAAACATATATATTAATCAATTAACATAAATGAAAATATCCAAAAAAATAGCAAAAGAATCTAAGAGTCAAGTTCTTAAGTTATCAAGACAAAGGCTGAATGCCATTCCTATAATGAGATGGTCGGTCCGAAAAACTATCCAGGTCGTTCGGGCCATGCAGCAGTAAAATAAAATAAAAATAAAATAAAATATGTTTATTATGGAACATAAGATACATGTATCACTTATTCCACGTCATTAAATTTGAAGGCATCCCTACTCATCGGCAAAGAAGACAGAGGGTGTAGGCCGAGAGAAAAAGCCGGCGTAAAAAACTCTCGGTACTCTTTTGAAACAGCAAATCATCAAACAACACTTATTTAAAACAAATATCGCAAATTTATTAGAAGTAGCCTGTCTAGCACTAGTCCCAGGCCCTTTTATCAACTAGATAATCGTTGACTTTATAGTAAGCCTTTTTACACAGCTTTTCTTTAATACATTTCTTAAATTTATTGAAAGGCAGTGATAAAAGAGCCTCTGGGATTTTATTAAAGAAGAGTATCCCTTTCCCCAGTATTATGTTGATTGCAGCATAAAACTCTAGCTCTAACCTAACCTAACCTTAGTGGTGATAACATTGATCCATAAAATGCCAGCCAGCGATTTTAAAGTAACAATTAGATTAGCAATCATTGTTAAAAAAAACACATCGACAACATAGTCGTAATTTACTTGTTATGTTAACAATGCGTCATTCTTTTGTTTGAAAAATAGTGAAATCAAGTTTTTTATAACAAAATCGAACATGATGTAAATGCTAAAGGAAATCTTCGCAGACTCCTTTTACTATTCTGTAATCTGCAGCTTGCCATTAGGACTTCAGTGATTTAGTTTGTGATCTTAAAACATCAGCGCTACGGATATTGAAAATAACTATATCGAAACTGCATAAACACGCCAGGGCAGATTGGTAATCTATTTATTTATTACCTTATCAGTATTCCTACAGAGTATTATACAATATCCAAACAATAACATTATATAGTATTGTCTTTGATTAACATAACCTTTACACATTTAAAGAAAAAACTTTTTAACCGGATTAAAGTTATGTATTCATTTAAAATTATACATAAAAAATTTAAAATTATGTTAAATAATTGTAAATTTATAATAATACATAACTTTAATCCGGTTAAAAAGTTGTTTCTTTAAATAACATTATACACAAAAGCCAAAAACGGAATACACATATAAAGATAAACCTAAAACAACAATTAAAACCTACTAATACAAAAAATGAAATAAAATACATATATAATAAATTAAGATGCATCGATCTGATTGATAATATATTATTATATTTATTATATTGATAATATATTTAATATAAAAGAGGAATAGCAATATTTTTAGGCATATTTTAGTTACATTAAATATATTTAAAGAAAAACGCTTTTTACCGGATTAAAGTTATGTTTATTATTATAAATTTACAACTATTTGACATAATTTTTTTTTCTGATGATATACATGACTGAGTTACGTAAATAGTTTGTATTAGACCGAGGAATTTGAAGTATTTGGGTTTGCTTTGTATGAAGAAAGGGTGTGAAATAGTAAACGCGACTATAAGTCTGGGCAGTCAATTAAACCATTGCAAATAGCGTGTAAACATCAGGTCGTATTGTTTACGTGTACATTCCAGGGATTCAATACCAAAGTATCTACGAACTCTACAAAATCCCATTAATTTTTGACGTACGCAGTCAGCACGCTAAGGCGCTTTTCTGGAACTTATCCACTTGGTACTGGAACTGAATTAAGATCCTGTAAGGATTTTACGGGCGGGACCTGCGTCACTTCTTGTGGATAGCACAAGAAGACTTACTGACATAATTGATAATTCTGAAGCAGAATTTTTCCAGCTGCGTTGCGATGCCCGTGGATCAGGATCTACGCCATGTGGGATGCGAATCGCCTTGTCTTGACTTGTATGCGTTTGCAGGCTTGAGGTTTGAGGCTGTTTCAGTCCTGAAGTGGGTGGCTGTAGCTTCCCAACGAATAGAAATCGTCGGAGCAGTAAGGTCGCTTGGTGAAGCCGGCGAAGTGCCCAGAAAACTTCTGAGCTTTTAGGCTGCCTAAAATTGCGAGGTCTTTATGCACAACGGACCAAATGGGCGTCTAAGTGCGAACTACATATTATGTATATATAAGGTCCTTACATATGAAATTGGCGTTTTGTATGGGAGGAACAAAAAGTCGAATATTTTTAAATATAACATATTTAATTAATAAAAGTATGAACCATTGTTTTCTATGCACTTTTGCCATCTCATGGGTAGTTCATTGATCCCTTTACTAAAAAAACCAGTCGGACGGGAATCAATAAAATCTGTGAAGGTGATTTGGACTGCCCCATCAGAGTTATATTTTTTCCCTTGCAAGAAGTTGTCCAAATTTCGAAAAAAATGGTAATCTGTTTGAGCAAGGTCCGGGGAGTACGGAGGATGTCTTAGACATTCCAATTGAAGCTCTTCTAATTTGGTAGCCGTCTGTTGTGCAGTGTGTGGTCTAGCGTTGTCGGGAAGTAGCAGTGGCGTGGAGCGATTGACCAGCCTAGGTTGTTTAGCCGCTAGCTTTTCCATCATGGTTTGCAATTGCTGACAATAGACATCGGCCGTAATAGTCTGGCCAGATTTGAGAAAATTGCAATGAACATACCGGCACTAGTCCACCAAACGCTTACAAGTAACTTTTTTGGGGTTAATTTTCGCTTGGGGCAGGATTTGGCTGGCTGGCCAGGATCCAACCATTGCGCTGAGCGCTTCCGATTATCGTAAAGAATCCATTTTTCATCACAGGTAATGATTCGGTTTAAAATACCTTCATTATTTTGCCGATTCAGTAATGTAACGCAGCAGTCGACGCGCGTTTGCCGGTTTGCTTCAGTCAATTCGTGAGGTACCCATCTTTCAAGCTTTTTAATCTTCCCAATTTGATTCAAGTGAATTAAAACAGTTTTATCACTAACACCGCCTGCAGCTAACTCGGACGTGGTTTGTGATGGATCCGCTTCCACAATAGCCTTCAATACTTCATTATCAACTTGGGTCTCAGGCCGTCCACGGGGCTCGTTCTGCAGGTTGAAATTTCCAGAACGAAAAGGTTGAAACCAAAAACGAACTACGTTTTCTTTTGCAACCACCCTTCGAGTCATTTCCGCAGCAGTAGTGCCACGGCGGAACTCGTACTCGTAAATAATGCGATACTTTAAGTTTTCCATTTTGTAAAATGAGTGACGCAAACAGAAAAAAACAAATGATTGACGGTCATCGAAGCACAAATACATGAGTAAATAGCTGTACAAATTTGAATTTGGAATTCCTTACCAAAGAGGAGAACATCGTGATTAAAGTGGCCAGTACGAAATACGCCAATTTCATATGTAAGGACCTAATATATACATGCCGCGTTTGCATTTTTGACCAACAGTATTTCGATTGCTTCGTTTCTTAACTGTATAATTTTAATTAATATTTTTCGATTGTTGTAGTGTTTTTCGTAGCTGGGGTAAGATAAGGGACAAATTCAGATTTGAGACAAAGGGTGATTCGGAAATTAACTTCCGAATGTCAAAACTGAAGTCAAACTTGGCACTAAATGTCAAATAACTAACCCTTCGTGTAATGAGTGTTCTTGTCCCTTAACTAAACTTAACAAGAGAAAGTAGAAATTTATATATAAGTATTTAGAGTAGGTATATATAATTATAAGTTTTTATATTTAAATTGCAATTGTAGAAAATACAATATATTAATTATATACCAAAAATAATATAATTTCATGGCCAGTCACTACTGTTTAAAAACCAATAGTTCAGGAAAAACTTATAATGTTATTGAGTTAATGGAACATTATCTCAATAACATAGTCGTGAAGTAAAAAGATTTAAAGAGAGAAAAAATCGGACGTATTTCTGGAGTTCATTAGTTAACTAATATTGAATGTCGCCTAAATTTTGTTTGTTTTTTTTTTTGAAATAAAGTTGTTGCTAAGGCAACGATGTTATAAAGTCCCTCCACGCACTCAAATGTAGAAATTTTTTTGAGAAGAAGAAAAAACAGGTTGTAGGGCCTCAGATTTCTGTATCTGTTTCGTGATCATTTGTTTTTCCTAATCGGAATATGCCTTTTTGGGTCGGCGTGCCGATGCGTACGATGTTTTCCTTCCCGTACGAGCGAGTATTAAATGCACACATAGAGAGTCCATTGGTTGTGTATCAGCCGGGTTCAAACCTACGACCTAAGGGAAGAGAGTTGCACGCTGAACCCAACACCAACACTGCTCAAAGAATCTAAAAATAGACTGTATAAAACAACAGATTCGTTCGTCAATTGTTAAGATTAAAAAAAAAATATCCGTGCGTAGACAAAGCCGTTATTATATATATATATGTATGTATTATATACGATATAATATATATATGTATTGTAGATATCTTAACTGCTTTTTGACGTTATAGTTACCATTCCGATACTCGTATATGTTTAAAAAAGCATATAATTTTGTTATTGGATATAGTGTCATAAACAAACGTCACGCAATGTACTAAATATAAATAAAAAGGTATTTCATTAATAAAGTTGAATCATACTTGTTACAACAAAAAGTAAAATACAAACTCAGTCCAAAACATTTTATTAACATTATCAACCAAACATTGACAAAGCCAATTATACGAACATTGTGAATCAAACGTGACCTATTTCTTAAAATCCTTAACCCATTTTCCCCAAATTTATCAATTTTCAAACCCCAAATTTAACAGGTTCTTGGGTGCCTTAATATCCACAAGGGCATGGTTCCGGTTCTGGACATGGTGGTGGGGAAGGTGGAGGGCATGGTGGTGGGCATGGTGGTGGAGAGCAAGGGGGGGTGTATATCGTTGCTGGACCAGTGCAAGGTGGGCCAGCGCGTCCTATGTTGATGATTGGGGGGCAAAGGGAAGGCTGGCCGATGTCCCCAAAGCACACCGTACCACCATTGGTGCGGAAGCAGCGCCAGGGTGCGGCAGCTGCACTTGCTATCAGTACTGTAATATCCAAGCATATTTCTAAGCATCTTTCGTAAAAAAAAGACGAAACTAAGAAATAAATATAAAAATCCAAACCACTAACTCAGCAGTAATCTGAAGAAAGAAAAGTAATTAAAAGAGTAGAATAAAAAACAAAGATTTAATGATTAAGTATTTAGATGTATAATGATAATAGACGTTATTTTACATGTATCTGAAATTCTAAACAAATAACCTATGTTTAAGTATGGACCGGTTTATTAAATATTAACGCTAGACTTTAATTGAAGCTGGCTTACACAATGAAAAGAGGACTTAAAATATAATATAAATACAGAATAGGATGGCTGGCCAATCTGGGCATGGAGCATGCTGCGTCAATAAGCAATCGCGCGTGAAATTAAATTGCGGGACAAAAGCGCCACTCTTTGTAACTTATTTAGTAGTTCATACATCGTCTTACAGGCTTCTAGTAGGACGGATACGTATCGTGTTTCGTTTCAATAGCAAGAGATATTTATAATTTAATATAATTAATAAAAAAAATATAAATGTCATAAGAACAGATAATTACAATTGTTGTCAAACCTTATGAACTAAATACTCTTCCTTGTAGGGCACCTTGCCTTTAAAACAATTTATCAAGGCTTGCCTAAAGAGAAATCATAAATGAAACACGCCTTACAGAACTTTGTTTTAATCTTTTTTTATAGTATACGGGGCTGTGATACCGCCGCCATTGAACACTCACACTGCCAGAAGGAAGCGAAAGCCTTTTAGGAATTGGTACGCTCTTTTCTTGAAGGGCCCTAAGTTGAATTGGTTCGGAAATACTTCAGTGTTCTACTTTATACAAAATAACGTTAAGATAATTGAAACGTACTATAAACACGAAATAATGTTTGCTTTCCATTGCGATCAAAATAGCTAGAATATTTTAAGGCATATAAAGTACGAGCCATGGCTGTACGTGTACACTTTGCTCACTCAGACTTTCTTAATTTATAAGAGCGTACCAATTTTTAAAAGGCCCGCAACGCACTTGCGAGGCTTCTGGCAATGCGAGTGTCCATGGGCGGCGGTATCACTTAACATCAGGTGAGCCTCCTGCCCGTGTGCCTACTATTATCTAAAGACAAAAATTAAGCGTGGTGATATCCTATATCCCGTAGTTACGCCCCGAGAGTATAGCCAGACGTAGGCACTCTCTTAAACTGTTACATTGCATTCATTCGTTACATAGCAATTAACATTTCATTATTTCGCTTATATTCTATTGTTCTACGCGAGTGGTTAATATAGAGTAAACATAAAATCCTCTATTATTTAAAGCACTCCGATGACCCAGGAACAGCCTTGCGATTCTAAAATGACTGCTTTACGACCGATTTGAGCGCGACCGCCGCTGTGAAAACCGCTGTGTGAGTTCGAAAAGTGAGTTACAGAATCGCAAGGCTGTTCCCTAACAATACTCTGGTTTTCTACTATGAATATTACGAAAAATAGGCCTAATTACAATTATTTATTTATGTGTTCGCTACGTGATTTGAATTCTGTCAATGTATGATATAATTTATACCTGTAGCTGACCGGGTAAATTTTGTATAGATATAAATACTCACACGGTACTATCGCTTTTAAATAATAGAGGTTGGTGGTAGAAGGGTGGAAATTAAAGGTAATATGTATTATTAGTGCCACATATTATATTATTGGGCCACCCATATGATTTAGGTGTATAAAACATACTTATTCTTACCATTTTGGAGCAGTTTATACAACACACGAGAATTTAAATGTATAGGTATGAATCAAAATTAATTTACATAATTTTATATATAAAAAGGTATACCTTGCATCATTTGAATAAGTAATAATTTATTTATCGCCTTAATCAACAAGGGCCGTCGACGCGCTCGTGATATTTAAATTGTGTCGTATTAGAATTTTTTATGTTAATCAACATTTAACCCGAGTACAAGTAAATGAAAATTAAATCGAAGTTATAATCTTCAATTATTAAACTAGATTAAAATTCTAAATTATAACTAGAACTCGAATTATTATTACTAGATTTTCTAGAACTAGTCTCGCCATTTTATTATAAGCATGTAAATTTAAATAGCAATGATTAGAGTATGCTTGCCGTGTCAATAAAATATTTTTAAGAAAATTTGTTAATTTTTCTTAAAATATATGCGAGATTTTTCGCGTCTAAGGTAAAGAGTTGAGACTTAGCGCTAGACTTCCGAATGTCAAAATTCCAAATGTCAAACGGGAATTATACTTAGCGCCAAGTCTCTGGAACTTACCCATACAAAAATAAGCGTAAATGAATGACATACAGGCCAATTAATGATTTCTTAATAACAATAAATAAGCAATATAAAACTATTCTGTAAATATGTCACTTACCCAGGAAGAAAAACCCGTGTATACCCATTGTGAGGTTTGGCGTAACAAAAAAAATGTCATTTATATACTAACGCTCAAATTATTTATGTTATACTCAATATAGCATAACGATGATAGAATAAAATCTAAAGATACATTAAACGTTTCCCGTATGTACGTTTGTATATTATCATAACTTTCCTTAGCTTTACGTGGCTTCAGCATGTTTCGTTTATTAACTATATTAGGTAGCATTCTGTGGCTGACACATGTCAATTTCACCTCCATAAGACCAATTAAGCGCATAGGAAAATCTGTTGGTTCTCAACACACGGCCTGAAATTTTTGAGTTACACTGCACAGCTCGCTTACTTAATTTATTGTTAAATAGATGACTTATTATTATATAAATTAAATTTGGGCCTGGAACTAAGGCATTTAGTTAAGGTATATATATTTAGTATTTAAATTTCTACCGTTCATTAGGTTTGGAGTATCACACAAACAATTATAATAGACTTTGAGTAAGATGAGAAAGTGTGACATACACTGGAGTGACGTTACACACTGGCCAACACAATTGTTTCGATTTGGTCATGCATTTGATGTGTTGGAGCTGTCTGACTTATCAAGACTTCTTATTAAACAAATAAGAACTTTTTCGTTAGGTTTGAGCACATTCAGTTTCGCAACTTAGGGCTAAGTACAATAGCCATATATTTTTGCAGGCCCATGGACTCATTTTAGTGGGTGCCTTGTCAGGCTTTAAGGGAGAATTATGCTCTTTTTTTGAACAATGGGTCGTATCTACAGTCGGGAGTCGTCTCCACATTTTGCTGAAGTGAAAAGAAAATGTCTTGTGAAGCGAACCGTGGAAGATTTCGTATGTATATTCTACCTGCCTTTTTTTATTTGCAATGCTAGAAATATCAGAATCTAAAAGAAACGACCCACGTAAACCCAACCACGCCAAGCACATTTTTGCCATGCGACTATTTCTAGTATTCTTTTTCAAAATTTTACGCTGGACGTCGTTTTAGAGAAATCAGCCTTTTTTTATGTCCGAATTCGCACCAGCTATTTTATCAGAGACTGAGCAATACCCACTACGACCAGCTCGTACAGTTCCCACAAGGACGCGTTAAAGAGGCACCAGGGTCACTCTTGCTTTCTACCGTAGTAATCAGCCTACCAAACTATTGTTATAGGAACCCATGCCCAGGTTATCCATATTAACCACAGGCTCAAACCAAATCCACGGTATATATTAAATGTCATATTATCCATAAAATCAAAACCGTTTCTCAACAAAAATGTGTAAGTACGCATTCATTACCATGGTTGGTTAAATAAAATAATAACAGTGATTTTAGTATAAAAACGAAAAAAAATAATGTTCAAGCAGTAGGTCTACGGAAATGGGGCGTCTCACAGCATTGGGAATACTAGGTGAGTTTCCTATATTTAATTCAAATAGATTTTGACTAAGGGTAAGAAATGAAACAACGCCATAGTGTTCAAACATATGTGACTACCGTACAAAAATGTATGGGATTTTGACTATGCATCCAGAGTAATCGTCAAAAGCGTAGACCTAGTGTAGAACTAGAGTAGACCTAGCGTGGACCTAGCGTAGAACTAGCGAATACCCAGCGTAGACCTAGCGTAGACTTAGCGTGGACCTAGCGTGGACCTAGCGTAGACCTAGCGCATACCCAGCGTAGACCTAAAGTAATCATAATATTTTGAATACTTTGAACGAAGGAGTGATTAGAAATATTAAATTAAAAGCAGGCTATTCTTAAATCGTCTGATTATGGGTTTATACTGAATTATTTTATGTGCTTACGGTGAGATAAAACATTTTGAGGAAACCGGCATGACTTGAACTACTAAACGAATAAGTATCGCAATACAGCGAGGAAATGCTGACAGCGTTAAAGGTACACTGGCACAGGGCCAAACTTCTTAAGTTTGTTTTTGTATTAATTTTTAATTATTTTATTATTACTCTGTAGGGTAAGAAAATTGTAGTATTTGATTGTTATGTTTAGGTTTTAGTAAACGATAAATATATAATTAATCAATGAGTTCAGGACACGAAAGTCTGATCTCCTTTAATCAATCAATGAAAATTGCAGAAAATTGTCTGCCCCATCTTATAATGTATGGAGAATATTTGCTGGGATGACAGGTTGTAGTTATTTTTGGTTGTTGAATTTGATGTTTTATTTATATCGCGATTTTAAAAGGCCAGACCGGGGTTAGAAACTCACAATTAGTCCGTCAACAGGAGGTCAAATTTATAATTATCAGGTCACAAATTGGTAACATTAATGAAATAACGCTGTTGTTTTCTTTAAAAGTTTTTTGCAGTAAACGTGTTTTTTTTGTAGAGAAGCAACTGCTATTAGGTTATATTAGAAGCTTTAGATGTGTATCTATTTTAAAAACGGACATTACAATTGAATCTTACATATAGAAACAAAGTGAAATATATATAATTGCACACGAAAGGGGAAAAGACAAACAGTGGCCTTACGAGGTGAACATTTATCTTATCGAATAGGCATAGGTCACCAGTCACCGTTGACTTTTGGGTCTAAGACATGCCGATTTCCTCACGATGTTTTCCTTCTTCGTATGAGCGAGTGTTGAATGCACACATAGAAGGTGCACATCTAGAGATCGAACCTTCGTTGTTTACCTTAGGTATGAGAGTTGTACGTATAAACCACTAGGGCAACGGAGCTTATGATCAAATTCATAAAATATTAAACATGAGAAAGTGTCCAATAACACTACTTTACTTTATTTACTACGTTCCCTTGTTGCATATATTCCATATAGCACTATTTAACACTGACATGCACTATCATGTAGAATGATTAGAATATTTTAAACTAAACCCAGCAGAGCCTGTCGATATTTGATTTCCAATTTAACTGCCACGCGCCGCTGTATCGGCAAAATTTTTATATAAATTATATTGGAATTTACTTATTGTGAGACATTTTTTTAAATAATTTACATTTGGACCTACGACCCTTACGTCAACTACACTCTGCCACATATCTTTTGTTTTATTTGCCACATATCTATTTCCGTTAAATTAGGCTGTAATCAGAAATAGATCATATTCTCTTTCTTTATATTTACAAAGCGAAGAACTAATAACTCTTATATCTGATTTTAGGTCTACTGGCATCTACACTAGCCGCGCCGGCTCCTCAATTATGCTTGTCGTTGCCTCCATGCTACCTGCCTCCGCCATGCCCACCGCCATGCCCACCACCATGCCCAGAGCCATGTCCACTACCGTGCCCAGAACCATGTCCTCCACCGTCAGAGCCAGAGCCATGCCCTGAGCCATGCCCTCCTTGCGATAGGAGACAGCCAAGTAAGTGATGAGTATTAAACAGTAATAAAAAAGAGTTTTAACGGTAATTCAGACCTGATGGGATATTGGTGGGCCTTCAGAAATTTGTAAAACTAGAAACATGATTGATGAATTTTTATTATCATTGGATTTAATTTAAACACATACTCAAAACTCATATAACAACATATATATTTTTTATAGCCCCTTGTGGTGATGGTCCAGTAAAGGTGGACGTGCAGCGAGGAACACTAAATGGAGTCTCTGAACGACTTCGTAACTTGGGCTTCCAAATTGTCCAAGTACCCGGTGGAACCTTCTACGTCAAACCATCTCCTGATATTGTTTTAACCCCACCACCAATTCTCGTTCGTCCAGCACCACTTCGACCCATCCTTCCACCCGCTATAACAGTTCAACCCCAACAATTACGACCTATCACCCCACCACCAATAGTGGTACGACCGCAACCATTGCCTCCGATAAATCCACCACCAATATGTGTCAGACCCAAACCACTTTGCCCCATTCAACCTCCTACAATCGTTGTGAGACCACCACGCCCAAATCCAATCCAACCACCCCCAATCACCATCCGTCAGCCCCAATTACCACCAATAACCCCAACGCCCGTCGTAGTCAGACCTCCTGCACCAGCAAACATTCAGCCTCCCTCTATAATCTTCAGAACCTCAATCCTAGGATCGGGCGCTTCTAGCGCAGCAAGATCAAGTTCGATAGGAATCGATGAATCTGGTGGGTCTGGATCGGCCTACAGTGGTGGTTACAGTTATGGTGAAGATGGTTACAACCCATGCGATCCATGCGATCCATGCGATCCATGTGATCCGTGTCCACCCCCTCCATGCTACGAGCCGGCTCCATGCCCATGCCAGCCTCTCCCACCATGCCCTTGTTCTTGCCAATAACTTGCCAGTTCAATGCCAGTATTACGTTAATAACAGAAAATACGCTTGCCCTTTCAAGGTACCTAATAGCTGTATAGAGCGATTTTTAAAGTCCAACCCACAAAATGCGTTAATGAGAAAAGAGAAAAATCAGCGATGACTTCTTGCGTCCCATTGTGGTTTCGCTCCTAGCAGTAAAGTGTGTGATGTTTAGTTTCTTTACAGCGATTACTGGCATTTAAAGGGCATCTTTTACCAACTTTAATCACATGTTATATACGATTAATTATTGTTCTTAGATTTCTCATTAATAATTAGATAATGTTAAAGTTGGTAACAAAATTGGTTTTGATCTCAAAACGCGCGTAAATAAATGGACTGTAGATAAATAAATACCCGTTAGCTATTTTGATTGTATGAATGTTTGCAAATATAGCTTTATTGTTTATATGTGTATAGTAAATAAATGTATGAAATGTAATGGCTTTTATTAATTACACGGGTCAATACAAAAGGTGACTGACTTTAAAGCATACAATTTCGAAATTTTAGTAATTAAGAAAAAAAGACATGAAAAAGTTTGGTTTTGTATTTTAGATAAACGATACTTTTCAAAATTATTGGTTTAAATTTTTTAAGTGAAGATGAAACTATTTACGTTTATTTACACCGTCTTTGTTTATCACTTGAGTGCCATCTAGAGGACCTATGTGAATATAAAAACCCCACTCTGATCGCGCGGTATTTTTGAATGTACAGTCAACACCGTTTACGACGACATCGTTTAGAACATACCGGTTATATTGACCAAAATCAAAGGTCCCGGCTGAATTCTATGTATTAGATACTTAATAACATCATCATCGGCTGTTACAACTATCGGATTTTACGACCAAATATGAGTCCCTTCGATGTCGACGCAGATTTTGACTGTATTAAAGTTAATTAAATATTTCAAAAATGAGTGTTATTATTAACCATCTCAACAACAAGCTTATACAAAAAAAGGTGTTTTCGTTTTTGTGCATAAGTAACATTGATATACAAAAAACCCAAGATGCACAGTCTCGAATAAAAGTAACGCTCGAAAGTGTCCCGAAACACTATTCAATTTCTCACAGAACACTTTGGCATTTTTAACAACTGCTCCCAGACGCGAGCGACGCGAGACTATTTGAAATGAGCGCACAATTTAGAATGTTGCGCTCATTTTTTGAGGACGTTTTTTAGACGTTGAGTGTGCATCTTGGGTTTTTGTATATCAATGATAAGTAACCGAAAAATCATAAAATAAAATTTAGAACAAAAAAGGATTTTATTTTGTAGTTATTAATATTCAAATATATCTAAATTTGAATCGATGCGATAGATTTTCAAAAACTATTTATATTGATTAGAATTGATTGTATGTATCAGTTAAAAGTAAGTTTTTCCCTTGACTGTTTAGTATCTTTCGTGTGGTTTGAAATCTTGAGAATTCCGGCAGCAGGTCCCTGCGTCAACCAATACTCTTGCCTTTAACAATCTAAAGCCATCTGTGGCATGTGTCATATATACATACATCTATAGTATATATAGTACTAATCTTATAAAGAGGAAAGATTTGATTGGTTGCATGGAATAGGCTCCGACCTATTGGACCGATTTAAAAAGTTATTTCACCATTGGAACCCTACGTTATCACTTATAACATAGACAATAGTGTAACCCTAAGTGTAAAAAGAACAATAAATATTCCTATACCGAGTACGCTGCGGAAACTATTGACAATAGAGCAAAGTGATGTACTACAGTTTTATAGAAAACGTCAATATCTATAAAAACGTCCACAATACCAATTGTCTAAGAAAATCTATTTGAATTTTAAAGTATATTTACCGAGGAAAGCTTTAGGCTATAGAAGACCGTGCTACGACTGAATTAATGCGGGTGGAACCGTAGAGCACAGCTAGTTAGGTTATAAAGCTGTGCTGTCGCATAAATTAACATTCAGAACGGTACCTATTGTATTTTTTCTGAAAAAACATATTCTACTTGTGACAAATTGTATACTCTTGATTTGAAGGCTATATCAACATCTTTACTAAACAATACTAACGAACTAGCGCGTGACTCGAATATCCCTACATAAAACCTTCAGAATTCGCTATAAACTACCACTAGTTGAAATGGTTTCTTCTTTTTATGTGCGGAATTAACACATGCACAAACGTGAAGGAAATATCGTAAGGAAATCCGCACGCCGAACAATCGCCAGAAAGTTATAGAGATTACAAATGAAACTTCTCTCATGCCTTAGAAGGTTACAGAACTTCATATGCATAAAAGGCGAGTATGTCAACGAACTATAATTCCAATTAAAAGCGACGCAGATTATAGAGTATAATTAATTATAGAAAAATAAATAGTCACGCGATGTTTTCTCGAATCCGAAAAATGTTAATTCAAATGTACAGAAAGAAAAGAAGAATTCATAACGTAAAAATAATTTGTAATGGAGCTATCTTTTCCGTGATTTTATTGGAATTGATGATACATCTGTTATGAGAATTCCTTGATTGCGCAAAGTATGACTCCACCACATTCATAAATTTGTTTACATGTAGTATTAAAATAATTATAAATAAATAAATGGCGCTACAACCTTTTTAGATCTTGGACCACAGATTTTTGTATCTGTTTCATAATGTTGTCAATCTAACAAGCCTGACACACGCCGTCGACTTTTTGTGACAGTTTCCTCACGATGTTTTCTTCACCGTTCGAATGAATGTTAAATGCACAATTAGAAAGAAAGTTCATTAGTGCACAGCCGGGGCTCGAACCTACGACCTCATGGATGAGAGTCGCAGGCTGAAGCCACTAAGAGAATACTGTTCTATTAAGATAGAACATATAGATATAGAATTAAAATCCCGTAAGACATTATATCACTTAACTGCAAGCCGGTCCCAAAACTTTATAATCCCAAATATTCATAAAACGATGGTAAAACCTGCCTTTTAAGCGACTTAACTTTTTAATTATTCGAAAACTCAGTGTTACGGCATTCTTAAATCACAGCTGAATAAGTTTTAAGATACTGTCAAGTCCATGTTTCGCCTGCTTCAATCGTGGTACGAGTATAACATGAAATTTATGATACACTTTAATCTTAAACCAAATAGTTAATTCGAACTACTGGTTAAAGAACTGTCTATATTATCTAGTAGTGCATTTTGGAGTCGGTTCTATTTTTCAAAACGAGTTCTATAATAATTAACATAGACAATGTTACAATACTTGGTTTAACTTAGAGCTGCAACCTGACGTAGTTATATTTGTTTTCCTCAACTCTGCTCGCAGAGTTTCTTGTTCGCGTCACAAGCTTACTAAGCAGAACCGATTTAAATATAGAACGTTGTAATTTTATCAATGCCACGAAATTGTCACTTCAGCCATATTATCGAGAAAAATTAAATAAAACTATTTTTCTTTATTTTATTCACATTATCACACGTTTTTCCCGAAGGGGTAGGCAGAGATCACGGGTCTCTACTTTCTACGGTCCTGCTTCATCCACTATCATGACTGTCACCATGCTTGTAGTAGGGGAGCCCGAGCGGGGATTTCGGGATTACCTTGTGCCCGGTTAAGTACATCCACCAAATAAGAGCCCTATATGCCATCATCACACCTGATCGTGACCTGATCACACAGCTCGTTCGTGGAATTAAAAACTTGTTATTAAATAAAATTATATTATATATTATTTTTAATGTTTATCTAACAGTTTCAACAACTTATGTGTATTAAACTTTAAAAATATTAACATGAGTGATATTAGTAGTGTGTATTTTGTGGTGAAACTACTTCGAAATTCGAATGATCGATTGCCGAAAGCTTATGAAGATGATTTTATGATTTGTTTTTGTTTCGTTTTAAATTATTTTAAATAGTACAAGAATTATACTTGATCAACATACACTTTTTAATTTTCATGCTGATTTCTGAGCTTCTCAATCAATTAAGTTCAATGATTTAAGTTTTTTAAATTATCAGATTAGGCGAATTCCTCCAGATAATCGTCAGAATATGAGAAAGCACGTGTACGAGGACATAAAGGTGAACCATATATCTTAATCTGACGCGCTTGAGAATTTCAGAATGGCGAATTTTTTAGTAAATTATAATAATGGCCGCGAGTTTGCGTCACATCCAAATCGTCAGATTATTAGATGAGAGTTTTTTTAGGTTCACTTAACATCCCCTTTCAACATGCAAACAATCAGATTAACATACGTACATTATTAAAAATACGTAGGACATGGATGCTTTCAATAACTGACGCGCTCGAGTATGTCCATGCAACAGTTTTTTGTGTTACCAATGAAAAGGTATTATACATTTCATAACATTTTTTGAAGTGAAACTTCTTTATCGGGGTTGGAAAAAAATTTAGTGTAACATTTTTGCGTTACGCGTCACATTTTTCCGTTACGCGCCATGTTGCTTTTTGAATTCAAGCTTCTTTATCGGCGTTAAAATATGACATATAGTATGTTTTTGACTTTGAAGTTTGACAAGGGATTACATTTTCGACTTGAAATTTGCTAATCGCAATTTGCAGCAATTAATTTGTAAATTGTATGCTAGGCAGTGTATCAAAATTTACTGTGTTTAAAGAAATAGTTTCTAATAAGGTCATAAAGAAGTTTCACTTCTTACGTGTGTACACCTAGTACACGCACACATTTTTTCTTCTTATTATAAAAGCTTCGCAACTCAATAGGTCTCTATGAGGCTCGAGTTAATCCCCATTTAGCATCGTGGGCTATTGTAGGTTATGGGAACTTTTAATTTGTCCCTTCTCTAGTACCTTCTGGAGTTGGTCCAGGTATGTCCGACAAGGCCTACTCTACCCGACTTCACCATCCACGCCTGCCTTGTAAATCCTACTTATTAACTGTTTTTTTCTGTTTAGAAGGCCCAAAAATATATTAAAATAACTGTAAAAAGAATTTTGTTCTTATATGGAATAAAAATAACTTTATATAAGGGAATAACGACAAAACCTTAAACAAGATGTGTAACTAATCAAGTAACTAGTACCCAAATGAGTTACTTGATTGGTCGAAGCATTCTCTAATATAATATATATGGTTTTTTTAAGTTACTATTTCAAGTATGATTATTGCAGTTAATATCGCTCAAGAGTTATCAGTAAAATATTTTTTTCGATAAATATTTTTAAATCCGTTAGAACCGTGGATAATTTGTTTTTAATATTTTTTCATAACCGCGCACAGTTTTGTTCCGACATTGATTTTGTTGAAAATATTTTTATTAATTTCGTATATAAAATCTGCATCACGTAATTTATCATCAGACGACCATGGCGAGGGGTGTGTTGCAGTGGTTTTCTGGTAAATATCACTATATTAATATATATACATATTTTGAATTTAAATAAATAAATTCGCTATAATTTTAGTCAATTTGCACTTAGAATATTTCATACTAAGTTATAGATAGTAGATCTATATAAAATAGCTACAGTGTTGGTCGCAGAAGCGTCTCATCATTGAGAGGTCGTAGGTTCAATTCACGGCAGTGCACCAATATACGTTCTGTCTATGCGCAATTAACACTCAACGTAAAGAAAAACATTATGAGGCCCAAAACGTCGACGGCGCGTGTCAGGCATAGAAGGCTGATCGCCTATTGCCTATTAGAAAAAAGAAATGATCTCGAATCGCCACGGCAATACGCTCTCACGCATAATGCCGAACCTCGGTGGGCCGAGTTGGGGTTTTGCCGCTTATACGTGGTAATCAGAAAGCATTGTACGGGTGGTACCTGGCACAGTCCGACAATTCTCAGGCCGCCGCAGCGAGTGGTCGCTGTCAGGATTTCGAGGGTACCGGACTGAGTCTTACGTCGCAGTGTGTGTTATACCATACTTCGATGCGGTGATGCAAAGTGTATTGATGGTGGGCCGAAGGGAAAGAGGGAGCAACCTCACGATGGCACTAGTAAACGCTTAGCGAGCCTCTGAAGACAAAGAAATGCTACTAGTGTGGGCGAGCCTTCTGACGCTAGTGCCGGTCAAAATACGATCGAAACGCTCAGACCTCTGCGTCAACGTTGTGTAAGGAGGCGGTGGGGCCACCTCAGCTACCGACTCGCGCCGATGCTGTCCGGACACGGATGCTTTGGTAGTTATCTGGAGAGTGTAGTAGGGTGTGGAGAGAGAGAGAAGTAGGAGGCACCAACCTGCCACCACTGTGACGGAGACAGCCTGGACGACGCTACTGACGAAGGAACTGGCCAGCATGGGAGGAGGAAAGAAGGCCTCTGCTAGATGTACTCCAGTGTGAGGTTGCAAGTCTACCAAAAGTAGAGTAAAAGACATTAAGTGCTGCCAGTGACGGAGCGTGGAACATTTTTGTTGAAGATTCGTCAGGAACATGAATGCCCATAGTCCATTCGGGAAGTCAATGCCCCAGTGACGCATCGTTTTGTAACAGTTGTCAAAGCTATTAAAAATCCTAACTCCGCGTTAAGCCGTTTGGCACTGCGCCAGTTCTAGGCAAATTTGGCAAATAAATGACACGGAACACTCATCATTAATCTAACATTTCTCCATTAAACATATTTGAAAACTATCATAAACTCTAATAACTTGACGTTTGACGCTTAAATAAAATAATATATATCAAGTACATAGATAATGCTTCGATTCTTAACAAGCCAGTGAATTTTTTATATACCTTATCACTGTTTAGTATTTAAAAAGTTCTTAAAGGCCTTAAAGGCTTTCAAGAAGAGAGCATGCTAAAAAGCCGCGAGCCTTATCGTGGAGATATATATATATAAGATGACCCGGTGAACTTCGTATCACCTACATATATTTTTGTCAAAACTTAATACAGATTTTTTTTAAAACACCAAAGAGATCGGGTTTCATACGACAGCTATGAAACACATATTACTAAAGGCATGTTTAATTTATGAAATATTTTTTTATTTCTAAAAAGACATCAAATATTTCTCGTCTAAGAACCAGTTTTATTGGAAAATTTAATTGTCTTCTTTAGTATATTTATTTACGAATTTATCTTTCCCACCTTTCATGAACTTCCACAAATAGTTCATAGTTAGCCAAATCGGTCCAGCCATTTTCGAGTTGTAGCAAGCGAAGAGCAATTAATTTTTATATATACATAAATGAGAATCGATTACATTAGATATCTGTTTTGGTTTTTTTATGCACGCCTGCTATATGTTGTATGCCAAAATATTGTGTGAGCAATTTTCTATAATAATACACATGAGTTATAATGAAGGCTCAATGTTGCGATTTGTAAACCTATCTTATCTAACTTCAGGACATTATTATATATCAAGAAAAAATAAATAATAAGCAATTAACCTATTTTTGTATATGGTAATGTAGCACAATAGTTTTCTGTTTGAACTTTACGATCCAATGGCTAATACGGGTTTTATACATTTAATAATCACAATGTAGCAATTATTCAAAATTACATTTTAAGTGTTTAACTGGTGTAAAATTTCACGTTTAATAACTACTCATTTAAGTCAATTTGTTGTAAATTGTGATAATTTAACTCGTTATTATGCGATCAAATTTATACAATTATCATACTTAGTGGAAAAATTATAATATATACTAGGTACATAAAACAGAAAGTACATGGCCAGAAACAAAACACAATCGCTATTTTAAATTACTGTAAATTTGTGCTATTTTGACGCGGTTTTTTTCTTCATATTATAGAATTGAAGATAAGTAATTTAATCCAATTAACGCTCATGACACACAAGTTAAACAAAATAGAATAATGTTGAGAATCTGTCTTGGTGTTTTCAAAGCATTATGACTGTTTAGTGCCAAAATATAGTTGGGTCCCGGCCAAATATACTGAAAGGCTTAAGGCTAACTGTATAATCCTTAAAATCCTCAAACTCCATTTCAAATCTACAACAATGTGTTTTGTATAGTATATCGCATGATATGAAAAGTAGTACCGCAACTCTCTACTCCCCTTTTATCCCAAGAGTTTAGTGTTTTTACGGCCCGTATATTAATTATTTATTTTACAGAACAATACAATCATGGTAAATTTCATTTGAAAACCGCTGTGGTTATATTAATGTTACAATAGCAGGAGCACGACAAACGCATATCAAAATAATTCTTCAACTTGTTTTTTTATGTTCCTTAACGTTAAGGTATCTAATAACTGACCGGAAAGTCCATTTATTTGCCGTGGTAGTAAATTCTTCAATGTTATCTCACCATAACTAATTAATTTGCGATATTTGTTTTAAATAAGTGTTGTTTGATGATTTGCTGTTTTAAAAGAGTACCGAGAGTTTTTTACGCCGGCTTTTTCTCTCGGCCTACACCCTCTGTCTTCTTTGCCGATGAGTAGGGATGCCTACAAACTCAAATTTAATGACGTGGAATAAGTGATACATGTATCTTATGTTCCATAATAAACATATTTTATTTTTTATTTTATAGACGTTGCCTCTCGAAGTACCGAACTTTAGTTACAGCTCCATTCTGTACGTCATGCTCAACTCGTTTTTTTATTTCATCTAGACATTGGAACACAGTAATGAGGTTCTTCTTTAGGAAGTTGATTCGTATTGACTTCATAGTCTTTGAGTCCTGGCAAATAGAACACTGAACTCTATACGCACAGTACCAAGCCGTGGTACCATTAGTCGATTTTTATAATTTAATGAACCTCACGAATTCAAGTCAAACTTTTTTCTACTTAATGTCCAGTCCCTTCCGACCTTCTCCTGTTCTTTCTCTTACTAAGTGTTCCCACTGCTGGTTGTAAGTTCTATTTATATCAATATTTGTAGACATTGATACGTTTATGACCGGTGATAGGACAGGCAACGGTGATTATCTAATTTAATTACATGTCACAAACAAAATATGAATGATAAGATCGGAGTTCACCCACTAAATTGTTATTATAACAAACATTAATGTTTCAGTTCTCCTAATCGGTGCGGCACTAGCACAGCCGGTCCCGGATCCTCAATACCCATGTGATCCCTGCGCGGACCCATGCGACCCATGCCCCGAACCAGAACCAGACCCATGTGATCCTTGCCCGCCACCATGCCCAGACCCTTGCGACCCATGCCCTCAGCCATGCGAGCCATGCCAGGAACAAGGTGTCGTGCAGATCAAGCCGTGCAACCCTAATGGGCCTGACGTGAATTATGTCTATGGTCGTGCACCGTATGGTACGTAGGAGAATATAATGTTTAAAATTAAAAGAAATACACTAAGTGATATACGAGGGACTGAAATCGATGAATGAACGCGTTATAAGAGTACCGTGTTATAAGGGGGTTTACTGTACTTAATTATTTCAGGCTCAGTGCTAGTAAAACCGGGGCAAATACGTTTCCCCCCGACCAGCACCGATTGTGGTACGTCCAGGGACAGTGACGCCACCAAATCCTCCCACCATATTTGTCAAACCTGCCCCAGTGCAACCACCAACACCGGCACCGATATACGTCAAGCCACAACGAGTGCATCCACCGACGCCCGCACCCATTACTGTGAGACCTGCCCCCGTTTTCCCCCCAAGACCAAGACCCATTCTTGTAAGACCCCCACCGGTTGTGCCTCCTAGGATACCACCGATCAGAGTAAGTATAACCAGATAATTGTATATCTAACTTGGGAACGTTTCGTGGTGGGATGAAGCTCGCGTATTTACACTTAGTAAATAAATATCTGCAGACTACAAACTACTAAAAATTAATTCCAGGTACAACCACAAAAGGTCTGCCCACCAACACCACCCGCTCTCGTGGTCCAACCACCAAAACTAATCGTCCCACAACCCCCAATCATCTGTTTTAAGCCAAACCCAACAATTCCAGTGCGAACATGTGGTTGTGCACGCGTAAGCCTATACAATCCATGCCCACCACCACCTCCACCATGCGATCCACCACTCCCACCATGCCCCTGCCTTTTATAGATATGCCAAATCAAAACATTCACTACTGAATATAAGTTCCCAGTGACCTCTGCACACTAAATGGCCGGTTGAACAACACATGAGGCTTCCACCTTCTGTAGAACACACAACAAGAAATAACTTAAGGGATCCAATATTGCAAGATCTAACGAGAATAGATAGACTATTACTACTCTATTATCGAAAGGAAAGCAATAGTAGTAGCGGGCTTGCAGTTGTGTGTGTAAAAGTGACACTTGACCACAGCGTATTCCTATGTGTGTATCTGGTCAAAGGGAACTGATATTCATTATTTGTTTATATTATATATGATAGTATTTATGAAGCTATGTTTGTAAATGTGTGATGATTGAAATATATAACGGGTATTTTTGCAAGAATCGTTTTTTTACTCATAAATACCATTAAAATAGTCATAGATCTCGACTCTCGTCTAGAGATTATGGTTTTAATCGATCGTAAATAACGAATATAAAATGTTTAGGATTACTAAGAAGCGTGCTTACTCATATTGAAGCGATTTATCTATAGTCCAGCGTAATTGAGAGAAATGTAAAAGCAGTAGATGAAAAATGCTTAAATAGAATATATTGAACTCTGACACCCTAAATTCGAATTACAAACTTCAAATTTAATCCACGAAAAAAATTTTTTTTCCTCAAATAAAATGTTACAGTATACTATGGTGCAACTTCAACAAACTCAAACACAAATTAACTTTATTCATATTGGTAAACAAGTACACTTATGAACGTCAACAGAAAAGATGTTAAATTAGTTCTAAATTGACATTTACTACCAGTTCGCAAATCAAGGGCGTAGAGCGGGCAAGAAGAACTGGCAAGAAACTCTCCGCCACTGTTATTAATCGCTAAGTTTTGAGTCATATAAATTGTTTGAACTGGAGCAAATAAATCCCAAGGTTTAGGATCATTTATATATTCGTCAAATTTATAAAAAGCTTTATCGATTCATTTACGTTTAACGAGAGCTTTGAATTTATTCAGTGATGATTCTCTATTGCGTTTGGGAGTTTGTGTGTTGTACATGATAATGTTTATAAACAAGTTCAAGAACTTTTGTGGAAGATTCAGGCTAGACTCCGACTCAAATAAATTATCATTTCAGACAGATGGTAATCATACTTCGCACTATACCGTCATCAGGGCCTTGAGACAAAATCACTTTACGACCCACTAACGCCAAACGAAGTGACAGAATGAAATGGTCACGTGACAGAGCGTGAGCTAATGTCATTCCCATACAAATTCGTTTATCGTGAGTGGATCACGCTTGTCAAAAAGAGATAATGACTCCATATACTCGTACATACAGTATGTATACGTACTGAATTTTTTCATAAATCGTATGTTAAAAGACAAGTTACAATAATTTATGTAAATTGTACATACTGGAACGCGCAAGAGCTTATCAACAATAAACTAATAAAACTCAAGGATATATACATTTATTAAAATACATATAATGAAAATACAACTTTTGCAGACATAAAAGTAAGTACAATGTAATTTTAGTAATAATTTTTAACATGCCAAAATTTTAAATATTTCACAGTTTGTAGACAAAAATAAGATTCAAATGCGCATTTGTTTATCTTTCCAATTGAGTTTTTCCTACTTCACTACTTTCATGTCTCAAAATGTCCGCTAAGCAAGATCGGGGCAAGAAAATCGTTATAATTACAGAATAATACCAAATCATTAGAATTTTGAAGCATAGAAGCTCAAGTTGACTTTTTGGGAGCTTACATGACACCAAGACAACTTAATAGTGTTGCTATTATCGGCATCGGAATACCCGGTGTCAAACAACCTAGTCCCAAATTGGGCTGCCCTAATAATCCGTTCATTATCATATTGGGCATGCCCAAACCTGCCATTCCCATGCCTAAACCGTTCATTGGCATATTAGACATTCCTAGCCCCCCCATATTTGAGCAACCACAACCTCCTGGGTACATGGATGGAATATTCGTCGAAGTTTCACATACTGTAGTGGTGGGTGGGTTCATTGGTAGCATATTAAATGGCGCCTGCGAGCTTTCACAAACAGTGGTAGAGGGCATATTTGGTAGCGAATACATGGAATTACTTTCGCAGACCGTCGTGGATGGCGTCAGCAGTTGTGGATTGGAAGTCTCGCAGACTGTTGTGCTGGGGCCAAAGATGCCTCTTCCTGGGAAATTGTAGGGCAAGCGTGGAAACGCCCGGGACAGCAGATTCGGATATGTTTGTGATTCGCACAGCGGGCTGCAAGTGGCAACGGTGAGAGTAGCTAAAAAGACCAAAGAATAAATTAAAAATACATTTATATAATCTCATTCGGTAATATTCAAGTTATGAAATGAAATACAGACTTTTATTGGCATATTTTATTTTCATACTTCTTTAAGAAAATTAAATTAAATCATTATTCTCCTAAGAAAGCAATGCTTTAAAACATTTTTTAATTATTAAAGTACAATGTGTCCCGACCGACCGAGGAGGTTTCAATTCAATTTAAGTACACATTATCTGTGGTGAGGGTTCCGAGCCAATAGACCAATAACAGACTTTTTACATTTTGGCGCTATTTCGTACGTACGAATTTAAGTAATATTTTGTTGGATAAAACTTTAGTAGCAAAAATGTCAAGCAACGTCGACGATACTGATGAAAATTTAACTCCACCTGACATTCTAGAAACAGCCACGAAACTAACGAGAACAAAATTTTTCTTTTGCCAGAAAAACCAAGAAAAGCGTACGACAAATGTTACCAAGACTTTATAACTTGGAAACCTATAGCCATGAGATTAAATAAAGTAGTGTATGCAACTGTCATATAATTGAGGGTATTAAAACACTCGTGTAATCTTATTTTGAAACAGGCCGCAGGCGAGTTTCAAAATAAGTCAGTACCGGTCCGTCATGGGATACCGTCGTCCGTCAGTACCAGTCAAGGAGTGTCTATATAGACACACAATCCTTGACGGCTGGAAGTCTTCACAAGACATTTTCTTTTGCGAAGGAGTGAGCTGTGGAATCCCTGTGGGGGTATTCCCTGGAAGGTACGACCTCCAACTATTTCAAAAAAGTACTCCTCCCTCAAAGGCCGGCAACGCAAATGAAATAGGTATCCAAGGGGCTGCGATGACTGCCCTTTTTAGACCGTAGGTTCTATAAAATATATGTAAGCGCTATGTTCTGTCGCTATTGTTACAGTATTCCGGTGCAGGTACAGAAATGGGATCAAAGATTTTCTTTTATGTGTTACAGTACTTACCAATAAGCACGAAGATCATGGTAGCCATTGTGAATGCCGAATGTGGTTGTTCAGTTCCATCCGTTACATTTATACGAAAGCCTTTACGGTTCACGTGTTTTAAAAATAAACAAAAGTTAATTAAAAATTCGTTTTTACGCTTCATTTATATAGGTTTCAATATGTTCCGTTCGCTTTAAAAACATAAACGCCGCAATTCCTTAACTTTGTAAACAATCAGAAGCAGTTTGGGTCCAGTGTTTTGCCATTTTATAATTATAAACGTTAATTTTCCTTATAATAAGCTGTGTAGAAACATAATCGTAATTTGGTTAATAGTACTAAAAAAAAATTAGTGGCGCTACAACCTCTAGGTCTTGGTCTCAGATTTCTGAATTTGTTTCATGATTATTTTTAAATCTAATAGGTGATCAGCCTCCAGTGCCTGACACACGCCGTCGACTTTTTGGGGCTAAGACATGTCGGTTTCCTCACGATGTTTTCCTTCACCGTTCGAGCAAATGTTAAATGCGCACAAGAAAAGTCCATTGGTGCACAGCTGGAAATCAATTATATTACTAATATAAACAAAACGTAAAAAACCCCGGTCTTATCTTCTTCGCTACACTCTTGACAGAGCGTTCGTGATTGCTACGTAGTAGTAATTAATATTAGAAGGGCAGAAGTTATGCCCTTCTCGACGTTTTGCCATCGTTGCCTATTAGAGATCATCCTGCTGCACTTATTGAGTGAACCTCAACCTGGTCCTATTACACTGCATATTAAGGTCTTGAAGTTCACTCAAAAATATTTGGTTTTACAGGTTACAGGAGGCAAACGGGCTTATCTGATGTTAAGTGATACCACCGCCCATGGAAATTCGCACACTGGGGTGATCTTCCGTCTCGCCTTGCAGAGCACACCAAGCTTCTTAGAGGCTAAATTAGCCTTTCTTTTTCCTATAAAAGATTATTCGTGTGTATGCTGATAGAATATAGTCATATTTTTTTAACAAATCAAACGTACTTACGGTAGTGAAAAGAACTTACCTGTAACAGAAATACAATATTAACATATTTAAGCTGTGTTGATTATAATTCTTAAACTATTTTAAAACACACATTGTTTTTGTATCATTAAAACTATATGGAATAATATCTCTATATATCTTAATATATATATTTCTTGTGTGCGTGTGTATGTGACTGAACTCCTCCTAAACGACTGGACCGATTTTGATGAAATTTTTTGTGTGTGTTCAAGGGGATCTGGGAATGGTTTAGATTCACAAATCAGCCCGGCAGATGGCACTGCAGTCGGTACTTTCATACTTTGCTTAATATCCTAATCGCTTTAAATATCATGCAGGACAACGTCTGTGGGGTCCACTAGTAATATATATAAAAATTCTCGTGTCACAATGTTCGTTCCCATACTCCTCCAAAACGGCACAACCGACTCTTATGAATTTTTTTATGCATATTCAGTAGGTTTGAGGATCGGCTACTATCTATTTTTCAAAACCCTAAGTGATAAGGGGTGTCCACCCCAAAAAAAAATTATTGTTACAAAAATAGCAATACAGCATACAAAAATATATACAACCCCTAATTATCACCCCTCTACGATCAACCCCTATTTTTTATTATTGTAAATAGTTATTTTTATTGAACTAAAAAAATATTTCCTAGCAATATTATACATGGCAAAACAACGTTTGCCGGGTCAGCTAGCAACATATAAAATAATAAAAATGAAAAGTTAAAAGTCGAAATTGTGTTTGATTGATCGTTTCTTTTAATAAGCTAGTCGGTGATCAGCCTTCTGACACGACTTTGTTATTAGGATTAGATTCAGTCGATACCTAGTTAAGTGTGACTCCCGTTTGTCAAAAACGTATTGGATTTGACATAATATGGAACGACTCGGAATCTGAGAGTTCTGCTAGTGATTTTTTTTTGCCGCATGAGCTATTATTGTTTAATAATGCGGCTCATTTTTATTAATTTATATTATTACTATGTAGGTTAAGAAAATTGTAAATACTGTATATTTGATTGTTATGATTACTAATAAAAGTAAAAACACGTATATAAAATAATAGTTTAATGAATATTTCTATGAAAATATTAAATAAAAACAATTAATATTCTGGTTTTATTTTGTCTATCTATAAGTGCAAATAGATAGAGAGACAATTGAACTACCGCAGATAATCCTTTGTGTAAACATACCTTTTATGAAAGACAATGCAACTAGGTTTTGTAACCACAGCTGAAATCTGCGCTTACAAATGAGTGCTATATACTGAAACGCGCTAAAGAAGCTCCCGGCCGCTAACGATATTATACAACTTCTCAACACTATGCCCGTCCGTGCGGCAAAGCAAAATCAAAGTCAGACTATGATAAAAACCGCCCTATCCGGGGATCCTTTACTAAGCACTTCGCTCACTCCTATGACCTTCCCTCCTGCCCTTCAGGCGATTGACCACCCCACCAATACAGCGGAGAATATCTGACTGCTCCTTTGCAATGAGGATCCACTTTTTTAATTAAAGTTTTAAATATTAGGAAATTTAGTTAGTAACGTGTGTTGGGATCTGTTGTTTAACTTCTTTCTTCTTTATGTACATATTAAAACTACGATACATTAGTATTGTCTTTGATTAACATAACTTTTATTCATTTAATAAAACACAATTTTGACCGGATTGAAGTTATGTATTATTATAAATTTACAACTATTTAACATAATTTTAAATAGTTGTAAATTTATAATAATACATAACTTCAATCCGGTCAAAATAGTGTTTTATTATACGATACATTAATTAAAATTAATGACTAGAATATACTGTAAAGCTAAGCTGTACATACAAAAAAAGCAATAAATTTTAAAAGTTCGGTCACTGTGGCAGAGTACCCACGCTGGTTTTTACCCATCCCGAATTTTCTCGTTGTATTGCGATGCTGATACTTCGCCAGAAAAGCACCAGCTCTTGGGTCATCGGTTCTGATATTGGTATTTTATATATAACAGGTCAATTGGCAGCTTCACCTGATGTTAAGTGATACACTGCCAGATGGCTCGCGTGCGTTACACGTCTTTTCAGAATCGGTACTGTTATCTTGAAGGACCCTACGTCGAATTGTTACTAATAATAATAATCCAGGTGCGCTACAACCCTATATGGGGTTTGGCTTCGTATTACACATAGACAGAAAGTCCATTCGTAGCCGGGATTCGAACCTACGACCTCAGGGTAGAGAGTCGCACGCTGTAGCCTCTAGCCCAACACTTAGTTAGTCTACACTAGTAGTAGTAATAAAAATGATAAGTATAAAATGAATTCTGACAAGTTTTGTTCTATAGGACAATGGTCAAAAGAACATTGAAACAATTAAAGCGAATATTTTGAGTACAAATAAATGCTATTAAATCTCGAATCAAAACTAAATTATAATTCCTTTTATCAACAATTTCTGATTCATTTAGCACACTGATTTAATGATGGTAAGTTGAATTTAATTAGCTGCTTTTCAGATTTTTTTTTCCACAGATTTAAATACAAAGTATATCCTTTCAAAGAGGATAGCTCTGAATTTTGAAACAAGTATATGTTTTAATATTTTTTAGACAAGGATTTAGTTGGGAGTCTAGGATTTTTTTCGGAAATCGTAACTTAAAGTATGTGCATAACAGTCGATATAACAAATCGGAAGGGAACAAGTAAATATTCGTTATATCAAGTAATTCGTTGAACTGAGGTTTGTTATGTAGAGGTTAGGTTGGTCTAAAATTCTTTATAGAGCTAAAAAGAAATTACATTCGTTTCCATCAAACAATAATGATAGTTTTACGAACAAAAGCGTGTCGAGACCTGTCTCGACATGAATCACATACTATGAGATTAAAAGTCATACATTGGTGGGAACTTTACATAA